AGACTTCAGAATAGGAATTGTCATTAACAATACATAATGCAACATATATATTGAATAATATTTTTAATTTCTAAATTAGATTCACCAATTGAATTACGGAGAAAGTGATGCTGGCGAAGCTCATAAAATGTAAACAAAAACATTAGCAAAGCAAGGATTTTTCAGATCAACATTATATGGTAGGTAGCATATTATTTCTGAATAAAATTTACGGACAAGAGTTAAAATGTAAGAGCAGAAGATACAAGCCGTGACCGTTATTAAAATGACTTGATTTTTATTGAAATACAATTTTATTAATAAAGAAATAAATTATGCTATTTTTTTGAACTTATTCATATAAGAAGTCGTTGCCCCCATCTCCTTCAATCGGTTAATCTGTGTATCAAGTCCAGGGTGTGATGCTGGGAATTATGTTACTTACTATAGAAGAAGACTTCGGACAAGGTGCGTTCCATCAAGTCACCTTGAGAACCAGACCAGGTTGTGAAAACGAGGACAACCTACTTATATACATAAAAAGAAGGCCACACCATCTTGGTCTTCACATCATTTTCATATAAGATTTCAAATCTTCAAGGATTTTCGGATTCTGAGTTTGGTATGATATGTTTACCTTAACTCATAAGTTTGTTTAATCATTTGTTTCCAAGATGTATGTTTTGTCTTTAAAAACGTTTTATTAATGTTAAAAATAGTATTGTTAATAGATACAATGAGCTATTGAAACTCAGCTGGTCTGAGAGTATATTTTTATTCAGAGAATAACGTTTTCTCAGAAGAATAAAGAATATTTAGACTAAATACTTAATTCAGGATCACGATTTTGCCCACAATCATATAAGTAGCTTTTAATATGTCATTGAGTCTGACTTAGCTTTACCTCACAAAAGGTTGGCTCATTCTGGATAAGGGTCAGTTTCAACCTTGCCTAGGTATCGTTATCGCTGATTATATACATGATCCTGAATAGCGTGAATATATTTCCTCTTTAATATATTGTCATTTGTGTAATTGCATCAAGAGGGAGAAGTGATAGTTAATACTAGCTAGGCCTATTTTAAAGTACCTTAGCAGTAGGATCGTAGCTGAAGTATGCATGAATTTGCCATTGCCCACGAGGACGTTAATGCTTTTTGATAAAAGTATGCCTCGAGACTATCGCCATTGTTTTAACCATAACCTAGTCTACTTAAGCGACCTACTCTAATCGGAAATTCAGTATTATTAATAATATTTGAGCTATCTCTATAAGACTCTTAGGGGCTCAGTTAGTGCCTTATCTCTTTACTTTATATTAATATATAAAATGCTTATTTTTTACACAAATTACATTAAGTTTATATATGATTCAATTATAATTAAACTCATTTCATTAGTATAATAAGTAAGAGCCATTGTTTACCATATAAATCTCGCTCTATTTTGAAATAGCTAATTATATCATCACATAAACACGATTCAGTTGATTATAATAGGATTCTAATCTCAAGAAAGGGAAGTCTATTATCTAGACCAATTTCTGCTGTCTATTATCATGCAAAATAAGCAATAAATTTGTGTACAGATAGAATACATGTTATTGGTAAGTTTGTTTAGTCGATGGGCTGTGAACATTGCGAGCTTAGGTTAGATTGGAAGATTCTCTTTAAGGAATAACATTAAATTTTGGCTAATTCATGTAACAAATGTTAAGTGTTATAGATCAATCATAATTACGATTTCACTTATCGCATTTTAATCTTGCTATAGGCATAAAGTAAAGTAGTATTAGGAATCATATTGTTAACTAAGCACCCTCAAAGTATTATAAGGCTAGAAAACATGCTTTGGCACAGGATAGCCTTCAAAAAATGAAGTGTGGCCTTAAATCAAGGCATGAATTTACTAAATTCAATGTCAAATGAAGTTCATGCAAATTTGGATAAATGCAAAAAATAATAGAACTTAATTCACCGATAAAGAAATATGGCAATTCCAGTTGATATAACAATGTTAACTAAATATTAGGAAAATAGTTTAATTGCACCATAGTCTGTTTACTCAAAAGTTTTTAAAAAAAATAATACATTAATTCTGCGAATGAATTAAGAAAATAGCACCAAATTGTTAGTATAGTATGACCCATGCAAACTTAATAAACATTTAAAATTTCCCATAAAAGAGATTGAATGCTAAAATTTGGTATTATTTCGGCTATGGACTAAAGAATGGAGTGGGTGTAAAATTTTTATTATAAACCGTATGAATATACCAAATGGTATGAATGATCTATGTTTCCTAGAAGTAACTTTTCAATCTTTTCAATTTTTATGATGTGCGGGGAATTATTTTACGAATTTGAAGCCCAAAAGAACTGTATATTATCATAAAAAGAGATATTTAAATTTCTTCTTAATAATATCAGTCTTAAATATGCATTTTACAATCTCGTTGTAATAATATCTATTCTATATTAGAGTAAAAATTTAACATAGATAGATATGCATGAATATGTCTATTATAAACATTTTTAATGATTATCTGCACAAGCTTGTATGATAAAGATATTAAACGAATATTTTTAAATGTCGACGAGAAAATTCTTATTTTCGATCTACTGTTACAATAAAATTATAAAATACACTTTTTTATGTGATAAAGAGCAGGTTTGTCCTCGTCAGGAACAATTACTGATACTATAATTGTTATCAGATTAATTGGGGAGAAACTAAAAGTATATATCATTTATCCCAATTATTTCACCCGCATGATTTTCTACTATTCTATAGTTAGTTAGATATATAAGATTTTACTTTAATCTTGCAACCTTCATGTGAACTTTCGTTGGCTCAATCGACAGCTATGAGAAATCTATTTAACTGTGAAGTATTCTGTATTAGTCATCATTACTAGCTCCAATCATTCCAAATATGAGTTTAATGTTTCATGACATGTAGGCGCAGTGGAAAATAAAAATAGTTTCGACTTTGTACATTAGGTAGTGATTTTGAATAAATTCGGGTTATCTTCATTATTTCTTATAGAAATGCGAAATAAATATGATGCATCGACCTACCAGACTCCCAGATTAGATTAAGTTGCTCAGGCTCTCCAACTATTTGATCGGTATAATGTTCACGGGCCCGGCAAAATATCTCAGAATTCTGTAGTTGAGACTGAGATACAGATGGAATCAGCAAGAGAGCACCTGTGACAATTATGACCTCCTGGCCATTTGGTAAACGGCGATACCATTCTGTGCCATATCGATGTGGGTCATTTGTGTGACAGGAAGTGTTTAGACGGTCACCATCTCGGATGTATATTTGGCGTGGATTGATTTCAATGTCAATTTCAGAGCCAACGAATTCACTTGTTTCATCTAAAATCATGTTCAAGGATAATAGACAAAACAAAATAATTAATGGAAAATTACATTATTGACCAAATAAAAAGCGAGATACTTCAGATAAACTTTGCATACTACTTTGAGTCTGAATATGGGGAAAAAAATTTAAGGACAAAAAGAAAATATGGTTAAAGATGGGAAATATAATAAATATTAATATGGAGGTGCTCTGATCGAATAGCTATAATCTGGAGGCAGCAATTCATTCAGTATTAAAATGTAAGTAGATATATCAATAAAATTTAACATTTACATTGTTTTTAATTAATCACGCAGTTTCAGATGTTCTATTTTACTATAAAGTTAACTCTTATCATTCCAGTTAACATATTCTATGGTCATAGAATAGTACAAGCTTAGATTCATTATGTTATTTTCCATCTTGTACGATACCTAACG